ATCCAGAAAGATTTAATGAGGAAGCTGTGAGAAGCAGGCATCCGATGTTTTATCTACCCTTCGGTGACGGACAAAGAAATTGCATTGGTGTAGTAAAATTAATTTAAATGTCACCCTTCATTTTTCTTTGCGCTATTTTCAATCGGAAAAGATTTTTAATTGTGATCTGGTTTACACGACGATCATTTTTATTTCAGGTTCCCGTTTCGCTGTTTATCAGACTAAACTTGGACTCATAAAGATATTACGAAACTACAAAGTTGAGCCTTGTAAGAAAACGGAAATACCTTTAGTCTTGCGTGACAATTTTATAATAACACCGAAAAATGGAGTTTACTTAACAATAATTAAAATCAATCGAGATTAATTTAAGCTCTTTCTTTCTCTCTCTCTCTCTCTCTCTCATTTCCTCTTATCAAACATACGTATATAAAAAATGGTTAAGAAAATCTTTGTCAAGAAATGTAATAATAAAAGTCATTTTTTCCACTACAACACATGTATGTATAGTACTTATTTTACTGACATCGTATAGTAATTTCTCATCGCGACATCAGTCAGACAGCAATTAAGTCGTTTAAATTTAATTGTAATATATTAAGTATATAATCTAGGGCGGCAGTGTGGTTTAGTGGTAGAGCTCCAGACTCGTGATCTGTGGGACCAAGTTCGAGTCTACTAGAGCCATGAAGTATGGAATGTTTTTCCGATAGCTGCGCCCCTCCGTGCAAGATAGGCTCTTGTGCGGAGAAAACTGGGCTCCGTGTTTCGGAAAGAGACGTTAAGCCGTTGGTCCAAAGAGTTAAAGTGAGAGAAGAAGGGTAGTATTGGTAGTAGATTGCGAACCCTGCGGGGATATGCAATAAATTACGAATTTTACAGAAATTTTATATTATATGTATAATCTCTTTAAACTCATCTTTTCCGTATTTTCTATGTAAGTATGCTATTACATATAAAAAATGAAATATGCAAAGTAAATATAAAAAGTGTTTGCGCGTGTCAAATATTTTTTTACTATTCTTCTACACTTCAAAACTTTCGTGTAGTAGTTTACAGTTCAGAAATAGCATTCTTTTGGACATTCGTTATAAAACGTTGGATTGATTAAAAAGTATTGCCCTCGTAAACAATTTTTATTTTAATTTATTATTAGAATTATTATTTCACACACACACATCTGATTGTTATAACATTTTTATAATGTACTTTCTATTACGTATTTGTCTCCATTTCTATACGTATAAATGTATACGTTCTATAACATATACGTTTTCGAATTATTACATTCGTCCACGTTCTCTCCGCTTATAATTTGGCATGACTTGGATGGCGACAGGTTAGTATTAACGGTCACATTGTTGCGAACGCTAGTGCAAACACATTTACGAGCTGCGATACGTAGAATTATCGCGAATGCAATTTGCATTCAAGACCGCGACACCCTGTGTATTCAAGTACGACAGTATAATACGTACGTCACGTTTATCACTTGTTCCAACAATCGAATCGACAATTTCAGAAAGAAAGAAGAAAAGTAACAAATTCTGAAATTTCATTCTCGCATGTATGTAGAAAGAAGTCGCTTTGTTACACATCCGCACATCATCGCCAAACGAAGAAGCCGGAAATTGGAGTCGTTTCGAATGGAAAAGTAAGTAAAATGGAGAAATCGATCTCTCGACTCTCCGGCGCGGTATTTTCTCCTCCCCGAAACATCAGAATGACGAGTAAAACAATATCGACACCAATTACATTAATTAAAAATTATTATTCATTTTATATCACTCAAAGTACTACATTGTGCGCGTTACAAGTCGAGCGTCCGAACAATTACTGCATTGTGCACTTCTTTAACAGCAAGCCTTTCAATTTCTGAACAGCGGCTTAGTTTTACACTGCGTTGTTGGTATGTTATGTATACGTACATTAAATTATTTTTTTCTGCATTGTACACTTCGATAATCGTTAAAACAATATATATTAACGTGTCTGTGTTCGCTTTTATTCTTACTTTACTACTTGTTAGTAAGCGATGAGGTGCATTGCTCGAGGTTGATGATCTTTCACGTGCTTATATTTAAAAAATAAAAACAATCTCTTGTTTCTTTTGTTTTTCTACTCCGCAGTCCGCAGTATTTGAAGAAACATCAAGATCGTCGGGGCTCACTCTTTATTATTACCTTACGTCGAACTTCGACTTTTGGAAATCACGCGGCGTCCGCGGTCCACAATCTATACCATTATTTGGAAATTTCAAAAAATGTTATATTTTTGAAGATATCCGCAGACAATTATTTGACGAAAATATATAACGAGTACGAAGACGAACCATTAATTGAGATATTCGCTAGAACGACACCTGTTCTTATTTTAAGAGATTCTGACTTAATTAAAAATGTCCTTATCAAAGATTTTTCCGTATTCGCTCATAGAGGACTATCCACTTTCGAAAAGGTCGAATATTTAAAATTATTATATAATTCAGAAAAGATATTAAACAAGACACACATAGCACAAATTCTTTAAAGATTTACATATACTTTTATAATTTTCATATAATAAAACTAATAAAGAAATATGAAATATGCCTCCAAAAGCCTTAAGCAAGTTTTTACAAGTTATAGAATTTTATTTTGAGCTAAATTTATTTTATTACACACAGAAGAGAAGAAGTGTTAAATTAAGACTTATAGGTATATCGCAACACCTCTTCTCTTTGAAGCCGAAGAGATGGCAACCGTTGAGAGTAAAGCAGTAGCCTGTTTTTACATCATACTTAAAAGAATCCAGATTTAATTATAAGGATGAAACGGTGAGAATACAAGAAAGCTATTTCACAAGTTTTCAAACAATGAGACATGTTATAAGAATAATTTTATAAACCACAATATATATATATATATATATATTAAATAAAATTAACTTTTACTTATTTTACGCCGACTTTTTCTATAAGTATTATATAATAAACATACTATTTGTAACAAAGATAATGAGAGACTTAAATGTAAAAGGTTTATTATACTTATCACTGTGGTTATCTCACATACTTATCATTTATACGTTATTATTTTTTTATACAGATAAATAAATTATCTATATAGAAATTTGTTGTATAGCAATAAAAAAAGCAAGAAGATATATGCGAGATATACCGACATATACAGTATGTAATATTTGCCTATTAAAAAAGAATATAAAATTTCTAAATCTGAATCAGTGAATAGTCACTGATATCAGTGTAACGTATGCTTTTCCTGAATCAGTGGCATACTTTACGCTGATATCAGTGACTATTTACTGATTCACAGTACTATTCACTGGTTCAGATTTAGAGAGAAAGGATTCTGAAAGAAAAAATACGATTTGAGAAATGCGTGTTATATATTTATTTATAAATTTCAGTATTACGTTAAAATATGATCAATTTATGTCTACATGTATATCATGTATCAGCGAATCTTATGTGTATATCTAAAAATAATTTTTAATAATAAATGCTAAACTTTCAGTTGTTGGAATTTGGTAAAAAATTTACAGTTATTTTTAATTAATTTATCTTACTTTTGTTACTTAAAAGACATTTAAAATAATTGTGTAAAATAAAAAATACATAAGACATAAACATTGATACACTTGGAAAATGTACAGAACTGTTTAGAAAATATTTGTGCACATACATACGCGCACGTGTGTATATATACATAGATATATGTGAGTGCATATGTCATGAAAAAAGTTTTTATATGTCAATTATGCGAATACTATATTTATAAAACTTTAATAGCATAAGAATTAAAATTGAGTAATATAAGACACTTTTTCTGCAATAAATTGTACAAACGTCATGATCTATAAATTCAATGGTTATTTTGCTAATATTTGCAAATTTTACAAATATAAATTACGCCAATAAGTAATTTATTAATTTCTATAAAGAAATTAATAAAGAAACGTGTCAAGTTTCTTCTCAAATTATGCAAATAAGCAAATGCGTTTATTTAATTCACTAGTATCTTATAATTTTTTAATATTTTATAAAGGAAAGTTCAGAACTGAACTCCGCCGATTCTGATGAAACAAATGTAATAATACCCCTATTTGAGTACATATGGTCAACCGTTTCCGAGATATTTTAATAATAAATTTAGTAGTCTTTAGTCTTTAGAGTTATTAGGATACTCACACACTCACCAGTATTTGTGGCGTAGTGGACATGGTAACTGCCTCATTATTTTATTTATACATCATTTTATATCATGACTATTTACATTATAATTTATATATAATATAAATTTTTATATTAAAATTTAAAATAATTAATTTTTTATACTAACAATATTTATTTTTATCATAAAACATTATTGTATAAAAAAAATAATTTAATTGTGGAATTTAAACTCCAGCCTATATAAATCATAAGGCAGTTACCATAGCCACATTACACATATTAAAATATGAGTGTTGATGTTGTAATAAACTTTACTCTAAAGACGCCATTAAATTATTAATAAAATATTTCGAAAACAATTGACCGTCTGCGTCCAAATAGGGGTATCAATATTCAGAGTAAGGACCAAAGCACATAATATGGCGTACAGCTATATATGACGGTAGTTTTGTCTGTAAGGACCAAAGCACATATGAAACTTCAGTTCTGGGTAGCGATCATGTAACTTTTTCCCTAGAGCGGAAACGTGAAAAGTAAAAAGTTTCATGTAACTATCTCTTTCTATTGGTATTAAATAAAAAGAGATAAACATTTCACTTTTCACGTTTCCGTCTTAGGGGAGAAGATACATGATCGATCCCCTAAGCCTTTCCTTGTTAAAGAAGCGGATGTCCATTCGAGGAAAACATTCTTAAAACGGTTTTAATAGTTGACGATACAAACTTTGACTTTTTCTAAATAACACAATATCGTTGATTTTCTTGACGTCTTTATTGGTCGACGAATTGGCACTAACTCCACTAGTATGAAGCGAACTCTTTTTCGTTGATATTGCCGTGGATACCATATGTATTGACACTTTACTTCGAGTTTTGTTGTATACATTTTCCTATAAGATATTACATATTAAATATATTATGAAATTTGTTTAACCATCAAAGTCATTCTTCTAAAAAATTAAGCGTCATAAAAAAACGATATTCCATAGTAACAATTTGTTTTATCATGATAAAATCTTTTTATTTAAGCTTAAGTAAATTTAAATATTTACATATGTGTATTGTATATAGGTATGTATACAGAGTGTGTTCGATTAACGTATATCATCGAGAAAAATTGCATATTCTAAGTAAGAAACTCAGTCAAAAAGTTCTCTACAGTTTTTGGATATGTTTAATATTAAGCGAGATATTGTAAGTTGATGTTTAAATAATTTTTTAAGTCAATTAAGCGCAACGATTTACGCGCCGCGTTCTTGGTAAACATAACAAAATTTATTTTTTGTATCAGTTTTTTTAACACATTCTAAGCAGTGTTCTTTTGACTTCAAAGTATAGTACACAAGTTTTCAGTCTTGAGATTTCGAGGCAATGCCATTCTTATTTGTAGAATGTGCAGACACGCATCTCATTTATTCGGGTACTTGATTTAAGAAATTATTTAAATTTCAACTTGCAGTACCTTGTTATCTCAAGAATATGCTGTTGCAATAGTACCCCAACTTCTTTAAATACTTTTATTATACTACATAAAAACTCTAAAGAGATACAAAAGTGTCTAAAAAATGAGAAACTATTGCAACAGATTCTTGAGACCAAATAAAGTTAAAAAGTATTGTACCATATTTCCTTCAACAAACAATTATCGAGATATTGTAAACTAACAAATAAATATCGTAAATATTAAAAAAATAAACAAATTTTTTTTATGTATCTCAAAAATTATTAAACAAATACAAAAATGTTTCAGACAAAAATTGATAAAATTAAAATTAGTACAAAACAATAATATAATAAAAAATAGAAGTTTCCATTTAAAAAATTTGATTTTGGCCTTACTGGGCCCAACACGGGTCCTGGATAATCTAATAAGCTAATCTATTGGTTTCCTTCAAATCCAACAACCTTCATCTGACACAATTTTTCATCAACCTCCTCCTTTATGAGTTTTTCAACCTGTTTTAAATTGTGACACCCTAAATATATATATATTCTGTATTTAAAAGTAAAACAGTTACCTTATAAAAACTAAGTAAATCCTGCTGTGTTATTGTCTCTAAGTAAGCTACTTCAATATTTACTCGATTGAAGTTATATTGTTGGTTCATTATTTCATTCCAATATAAAGCGTTCCGTGCAATTAACGTTTTAGGTTTCTCCAAACGTAATTTAGCTAGAGTTTTCTTGTGTTTCTCAAATTCTTCTGCTGACATGGTGGATATGTATTCCTGAAATATAATTATAGTGATAGTAATGGTACTTTAATAAATACCTTCATGTTATTACATTATATAAATGGATTGTTATATTTATTTAATCATATAATATTCTAGGATATTGTGTGAGATATTTAAATAAAAAATGTGTAGTTGAATTAATCTATTAATTCAGTTAACATATATTATATTATGTAAGTTCTAATTAAAAACGACAACAATAAACTTTGACTTTTTTAGAAATAGATATATAAGTTCTAATTATATTTATCTATTAATCCAAGTAACATACATTATATATTATAAGTTCTTATTAACATTCTTACCAACATAGAATCCATGAATGAATCAATTTGTTTCTCGACATATTGCGGATGTGTGTCATTTTGTACAATGATATGTAAACCTTGCGTCCAGTGCAATTTATGTATACCGCTATATGCTATATGGCCATCTCCTTTTTTCTTGTTTCTATACATATACGTATGAGTTTTAAATGTATTGCAGCAAGGCTCTGCAATAATTTGTGCCAAGAGTTCTAAGAGCATATTTGACTCCGTTGACTGTAGACCAATTGCGTAGTACACCGTGGTACAAGAAATATTATTCAACTTATTTTCTACCTCAAATAGAAAGTGACAACCTAGAGTAATTATATATTATTGTATAGTACTGTTACATACTACGTCATATAAACAACATTGACTCATTAAAAAGTAATTAAATAGTAGCTTCTGAAACAAATGTTATTGCAGATAAAATGACATTAATAACAAATAATTTTCTAATACATACATTTTCAAATACATATATTTGTTTTCCTCATATAAATTACAATAAATTACGCTTTTTATATTTTTATTTTTACTTTCTTAAGGATATTGTAATATCTACACAAGACCATTAAAAGGAACAATAAAATTCTTTATATTACAATTTTAATATAAATTCTGTAATATAAATTGAAAAAAATTCTGCAAACATATTAATTTTTACAAATTTTATAAGCACAATTTGATGTCATGCGCTTACCATCTTCTAGTTTAATTTCACGCTGTACGGGCCATTCGAACACAGGTACTATGTTAGGCACCGCAGTTTTCAACTTTGACTCAATTAAGTTCACTGCTTTTTCAGCTTCTGTTACAGTTACGTTGCCATGTATTAAGCACTCTATGTGCACTTTACTAAATAGTTGTGCCACAAACTGTTGAAATCTACCGACACTTAGATCTATATGTTATTACAAAAATTTTAATTATATGTCATTAATATATGCTTTAATACTGCAAAGGATTAAAAACAATTTTTGAGAAAAAAAAGAAGATATAATTTTTGACAAGAAATATCAATTCTCGTTTACACACTTACAAGCAGTATATTCCAATAATGTATCCTTATACCAAGCTTTGTCTGACAACAAGATCTTAAGATTATGTAATGTATCGTAATAAGGTCGTCCAGTAGTCCAATTTGCCAAGTACCTGATATACTGTAAGCCGTTCTATATATATATAAATATCCTATTTAACTAAATTTATGAAATTGATGCATTTATTATACATACATTGTCCTTTAGAATTTTAAACATTATCGGATTAACCTTACAATTTAACATTTGGTCAATAATTTTTTCTAACAGCACATATTGTTTGTCATTGTAACCTTGTATAGAAAGCTAAAAAAGAAATTATATCTTTTAATTTATAACTACCTTTTTATAAAATATTTTTATAAGACATTATACAAAACATGAAACATGAAATATAAGTGCTCGTATTTGATAAACATTATTTAAACATTGTTTAAACATTATTTTATAGAAACAAAATTGAGCATATTTACAAATAACGATAATTATACACAAAAAATAACATCTAATTTTTGTATAACCAACATTTATGTATATAAAATAGTACTTCTTTACATACGCGTTACTAATATTAATAACAATAAATTGAATAATAATTTTAATCAATTCATATTAAATAAGCCATTTACAGTCCGAACTTGGATCTTAGTAGTCTAATAATATTTTTTTGTGTACATACATATATTTTTCCCAACTTTAAATAAATATGAATAATAATTTATTCGAATAATCAAACTAATTTAAATAATATAAAATATATTACTGTTTTTATATATGTACTTACTATTATATCATTATCATAACTAGTAATTTTCCATTCTAAACCAGCCAATTTAGCAGCATCTGTATATGTATTATAAGAATTAAGGAGTAGCTCAACATACATATGAGTCAAATTAAAACTGAGGGGATCCATGCATGTAAGCGGACTATAAATCAAAGACAAAAAATATTATATATAATTATGAAAAAACATGTTTTTCTTTTGTTACAAAAGAAAAGATTATAGCACTAAGTTGAATCATTATCTTTAAAGATGTTTTTAAATAACGATATTTATACGTAGAAGTATATAATAACAAATTTTATTTTAAATAGTTTAATTTTTTTAATGATATAATGTGTGGTTTTAAAAATAATTAATTAATTATTTATTTTATATATATATAATTGTGTATATATATATATATATATATATATATTTTTTTTTTTTTTTAAATATATATATATTGTACTAATCACATATTGTATGTTACAAATTAAATTAAATTATTTCATTGTCTAATTTGTATGAATTACCAGAATACTTTAAAAATTTTATTTAAAAATATTTCAGCATTGTATAAAACAACGAAGTCTTTTATCTTTTAAAATCACGCTTATCCCATACCTGTAAAATTTAAATAACATTATTGCTTTTGGTACAAGAAATTCATCGTCCTTTTTATACCAAAGTTTTATAAACGGTCTATTCTCCAAAAGAATAGGAAACCTTTCTACCTGTAAAATTTTATCTATTAATATACATTTACCTATATTATAACATGCAAATATAGAATAAGATTAAAATTGGTAGTATGTATAATGAGTAAAAGACAATTTGGACAATATGTAAAAACAAACGCTTATAACAAAAAATGTTTGCACCACATCTTTCTACTTTTAACACAGTTTCTTGACTTTGTTTCATGTAGGTATATATTAGTCCTAAAAGATTAACGTATATTCTTTTCAAATTAATGCAAAAATATACATATATTCAAAAAACACTGCATGACCATTACATTAAACTACATAAACATAAACCATTACATTACATAAAAAAACATGTAAAGAAGACAGAATTTGTTTTAAGCTACATTAACACTGACAGATTCTATTACACGTTAAGTTTATACTTTAGGAATATTTTGCTTAATATTATCAAGTGATTGTCATAGATTAATATTGAAAGAAATAATAATTTTAATTACATTAGTTTGTGGCTTAATATCAAGCGTGGTTGCTATAAATTCATTCTTAGAAGGCAACGTCAGATCCGGGCTATAGCCAGCGTCGTTCCACATGTTCATTGTTTCTTTGGGTACCTTTACCTTTTTATATTCAACGCCGCACCAATATTCTCTTTCATTCGCTATTATTTCGCACTCTATTGCAATTACGTAAATTTTGATATTTTGCGGCTTCAAATATTCCATTACCTGCTCGATCAAATCTGGTCGCCAAATCTGGTCAGTGCAAACAATTTCCGCACACAAAACTTCATCCATGGGATATTCCTGCAACGCTCTGGCCACAGAAGCCACATAATTATTAAGTAAAGACTCTTCCTTATAATGGAAATTCATATTTGTAATATCTCTGTATTCCTGTAAGTGTAAAATCATGTAACTTCATATGTAATACACAGTATTAAAGTACACAGTGCTCGGTAAATTGCGATCCTACAATTCGCCGGCACGTAAGATTATATTTTATTTCATCAAAATTACATCGTAAATCCATTTAATTGGGCCTTTCAGCTTCAGCATATTAATATATTGAAACAGTAGTTGAATAATATCTTCTGTATGCTGAATACCTTCTTTGGTTAGATAGAAAATGACTTTAAAATTCTCACAGAATTTTCCACGTAAAGTTTTTTGAGCTTTCAAGAGAGTACACCAATTCCTGGCATATAAAACCGACCATAATGACCCTTTTCCTTTACATTCAAGTAAATAAGAAAAGTAATACTCAGTCTGTGTTAACAAATAAGCAATAAATATGAGCGTCAAATAAAATATGACATAATTATATATGTTATAATAATTACAATTTTACGTATATATATATATATATATATGTATATATATATATATATATTGTTACGCCCTCGTCGCTTTGGCTCTGAATCGAGCTGCAATTAGCAGAAAACGTACGGCGTCTGTAGCAACGGGGTTGCTTGGCAACTAGTTGACAGATAGAGTTCTCTTCTCTCCCAGCTTTCTTGACGTGCGAACGTGTTTTCGAATTGTAGAGAGAATTCGAAATAAATGTTATATTCCGTTATACAAAAATGAGTGGTTATTCTTAAATACGCGGAACGCGTTTGCGAGTGCGCGCGATTCTTAGAATGGACGGAGCACGAAGTGTATAACAATATATACATACATATAATATATATACCTTATACGAGTTTTACATTTTATTGTTAGTTTCTTTTAAATATAATTATATATATATGTACATATATAATCATATTTAAAAGAAACTAACAATAAGATGTAAAATTCGTATAAGGTATCAAAATCAAGAGAAAAGTATATTTATTACCGAAGCCCGATAATAATGCTGAATGTCAGGATAAGGAAACGAAATGACTAATTCTCTAATATGCTGTAGGGGAACAATGTACCATATAGTGCCAAAATGTTCATCTCCAAATGGATGTTCAGGATATATAGGAACTTCAACTTCATTGTTTTGTATATCACAAAAATATTTTACTACCATGTTTTCGAGTTCATCTAAACTCTCTAAACAAAAAATTTATTTGTTGATGTAACTTTGATATTATAGTAAACATTATAAATATGCAACAAAAATTATGTCTGTTTATAGCAAAAGATATAATGTTCAAAAACACAAGAAATATATAGAATATTTTTCTTTAATTACAATTAGATATTTAACATTTTTCTCAGATTTTTTTAAAAATATTGATAATTATAATTACATACTGGTTAAAGAGAATCTGAAAAAGTGTTAAAATTTTAGATAGTAATTTATAAGGACCAATATTTTGATAACTTTTTGATAATATTGTTTCATTCGCCGTAAATACATAAATGGAACACATTGGCAACTTGCCCCTTGTGCCAATGAGCCCCGGTTTCCATTATTAATAAGACTTCTTTGAAAATAAAAAAATGCGTAAATATTTAACACAGTATAAAAGGTAAGTTAATAAATTAAAGTATTTTATACTTTAATTTATTAATTTACTAATACTTCATTAATCATTATTCAGTTTATATCCCAAAATTCAAATTCTTTCCAATATAACAATATAAAAAAAATTAGATGTTCTAATTATAAACAAGTCTTTGTAAATTATTGCCATACCTTTGCCATAAATACACAGCGTCATAATATTTGCAGAATAGTACTTTTTATGAAACTCTTTTAGTCTATCTCTAAGGTTAATGCCCTCTTCCTTCGGTATTATGTCTAATGTCTCTTTATCGCCTGCGTTGAATCTTGAATACGGATGATCTGGTCTCGCAGATGATTTCTCAAATTGAATAAGTCGCCAGCTGTCATTTATTGCAAGGTTTACGTATTCTTTATTTACATCATTTATTCCCCGCTTGATCTTAGTAAAAAGTGGTGCTATGAAAAACTGCGAAAGGCGATCTAAAGCGCCTTCCAATTTCTCCGGAGTTACATGAAAGTAATAGGTGGTGTGATCGGGGCGTGTTATTCCTGCGTATGTACCGCCTTTTTCCATCACATACATAGAGTAATCATCCTGATGAGAATATTTTTCCGTTCCCAAGAATAACAGATGCTCGCAAAGGTGCGCTAATCCAGGTAAATCTTCTGGATCGCACATACAGCCTGTAACATACAGCTCATCTCTAATAACATAAACCTCCATATTTTAACTGTCTCTCATCGATAAAAGTGCGCGTTTATTTCTGAGATATTATAGTTTACATTACATTATACTGTAACATTTTAGAAATAAAAGTGAGCTTTTATCGATAAAAACCAGTTGAGAATATAATCTTTGGAATGTATTTGATATACATTAATAGATACATATATTAATTCTTGATTATTTGTGTTATTACAGAATATGACCAAATGTATAAAAAAAAATTAAATAATATTAACATTTACAGTATAGAGCAACTCAGAAAAGAAGATACCCAGGTAGCAAGCACTCGTCATTTTGACGTCAATTGACGTCAAAAGATGTCAAAATGACAGACTTTTGACGTCAAAATGACGAGTGCTTGCTACCTGGGTATAAAATTACATAAAACATTCAATTCATATAGACTATAGACTATATAGCAAAAATACAACGTTATTAACCAAAAGTCACAAAGATAAGAGTTAATATACTAAACTAAAAGATATTAAATATAATTAATAAACTAAATAAAAGTCACTTATATTTTTCTATATATTTCCTAATTTTTCTAATTTATAATATAATTACAGAATGTGATTGTATAAGATAGTTCTTATAAAATAGTTCTTATAAAATCTGCTGAAAACATGAAGTATTCGTATAAATAATATGTTTACCCATATTAACGTCCATTATTGCAGCACTCATATCAGCTGTTGGTGTACTTATTAAAAGAACTTTCATCTTATTGGTGAGTAATAAGCCCCTGTACAGACAACTATCATTTCTTCTTTTTTTTATATTATTATATCGCTTTTCCACACATTTATTAGTCGACATGTCGATCACCGCAGCCATGGATCTGGAAATATTATTTCTAAATATGAAAGAAATTCAAATAAAAAGACTATAACGATGCATTTTGTTATATCTGTATAACAACGATACTGAAAAATATTCTAACTGAAGCAAAATTGACCTTTTACAAAAGAAATCAAAGAATCTATAGAAGAAAAAATATTTTTGCAAGAATTAATTGTACTATACTATTTTTTCGAGAAATTTCTGAATTACAAAATATTAATTAAAAAATATTGAATAAGAATACCAAGCGGTATAGTAGCGGTACCGCAATGCCAAATATAAAATATGTGCAGACTATATTCACTATTAAACGAGCTCGTATTATCACGACGCGGTACTACTAAGCTTATCATTGTTATTTACAAGTAATTGTAAATGATATTAGAATTATTCTTATTATACATTTCAAGATGTGCTTTTTTTATTATCTTGAAATATGATTTAAAGAGTAATATTTCAAAAAATCATATAACGTCTTTTCTTTTTTTTTTTTTTATACATCGAAATATATTTCTTGCATATAACAACATTGAATAAATTTTGCTATTATTTTATATAAATTACAACTCTAAAAGGATTTAAAGCTATCAACAAAAAGATCGGCATATTTTGTATTAAATTAATGTCCATAGATAAATATAATTTTTAATTTGCGATATTTTTGACCACACTTGATTTGTTATCTTTTTAATTATAACAACTAATCAGATATTAAAAGTTATTTGTAGAAATATGCCAGCAAGTTTTATATTGGCCGATTTTTCTGAGGACGAGGAAACTTTCATTTGATGGAATGTTTTAAGTAAGTAAAACATACATATCTTTTGTTTTTTATAAATTTAAGGAACGCTGAGGCAAACACCTTTATTAATGCTTTTAAGTATAATATTGATTTTCTATTAATGCGTATATAAAAATCAATTCGAATAATTGAGAAAATAGATTAATGATAGAAGCGCTAGCTTATACACGTAATACAAAAGAATAATATAGTTAGACATAAAAATATTCTTTTTAGATTAAAGTTAAACCTTAAAATTATTCAATAGGTAATACCACGCAAGTTGCAAAATCAAGTGCAAACATTAGGAAAATGAGTCTCTCTTTGAACATCCGTAGACAAATGAATTTCTTCCTTCTGTTTGGAATTACATGAATGTCTGACGTTTAGTTTTTGGTATTAATTAAATTTAACACGGCAATCTTAGGGATTAACGGTACAATTCCAAGTGTCACATCACGAGACTTACCAAACGATTTATCCGAAAAACGGCTGACAATGCTTCTACAAGAATAATTCAATGTCACAACAAATTCCGACTTACGTTCGTATAACGATGTATAACTCGAATAACGACTTATTGTCGAAACTATATACTGTTCGTTTATTGTCAGCGTACCGAAGATGACCTTATTACAGGTCGATTTGTTTGACACATCATTGTTTATATTTCTTTAAATACTAGCAATAAGAGCTTGGTTTTATCAACTTATAGCATTATTAACTCATTTTATTTTCTTCGGCAAATAATATATTTAAAAAGATAAGTTATTTGTCATATATGAAGCAAGATTTCTATTTTTTATCTCATATAATATCATTTATTGTATATTGGGTGTATGAGAAATTTCTTTATAACTTATTTTACTTTATTTTTACTTCATAAATGAATAAGTAATATGTATGTGCATTGCGCATACAAATAAAAAAAATTTATTTAAGTTTTGTCTTCATATAGAGCATGTAAAATATGTATCTATAACAAATATACAATAAAAGAATCTTGAAGAAAAAATACAATTTGAAATGTGTTCTATACGTAATTTGTAAATTTATAATATTACATTAAATTATGTCCAATTAATATATCAATCATTATAAAATAGTAAATTTTATAAATTCAACAATAATTTTTTATTATTAATAAACTCTTTCAGACGTTGGAATTTGATAAAAACTCTAGTTATTTTTCTAATAAATTTATTTTATTTTATTTTACTTTACTTTAACAGGCGTTTATAATAATTTTTTTTCAAAAGTAATTTTTTAAAATAAAAAAACATAAGATATATACATATACAATATGTCAAATAAGCTATATACAATAATCAAAAGTAAAGTCGAGAAATTTTCTAATTTAAGTTGCATCTATTTTCTCGAAAAAAATATTCTGAGGTACACGTATTCATGTATTCATACACTCCTTGACTTTTATAGAAATAAACTAATAAAAATTTTAATAAACTAATAAAAAAGAAAAGATAAATTAGATAATAATAAAAAGATTATTACAAAAATAAAAAAGTAATAGAGTATAAAAGTAGAATCTAAACGCAAAGTACCACTTGAAACCAATTGTAACTGCTATTTTAGAATCAAATAATTTGAATTTTTTATTTTAACATCTTTATTTATATAAAACAATCTATTCACCGTATTATATGAAATAATTTAAATATATATATTATTATACACACACACACACATACACACACACACACACACACACACACATATGTATACTAATTTATTAAAAAATATAATTGTATATGTGGTAAGCTTCAATAATAATATAACAATATTCATATTTATCGGATAATATAACACGATTTTAACAACTTTAGAACTTGTGACACTACATATTTATTATAACGTTTATTACCATCGTTCTCAGTTCTTAATAATCTCTTGAGACGGAAAGATCGCGATTCTGTAGATTGTAGATAGACTTCTGGTAATTCGTAACTGGTAAGCATTAATCACAGTTAATTTCAAATTTCACCTGTATCATTATTTCCGCGATGTATCATTATTTCCAGTAAGTTTCGAGTGTATCAAATTATTTTAAAATCTTTCTAAGATTATATATATTTTGAATTAATCTCATACAACCGTACTTATAATACGCTAAATAAGCAAAATATAAAAGTTTTTTATTAAACCATTAACAATTTATAATAAAACTGACAATACCTATAAACATTTTGAAAAAATTGTCTTAAAAAAAATTATTACATTTATCTTGTTATCCGATCTTGCTTAAATTTGAATATAAATAAAAATATAAATAAAATTGAATATAAATAAAGATCTTTCTTATTGTAATAGTTTTTTCATTGTCATCGGATTCATCGATGACAATGATATAGAGTTCAGATAATTAAAATTTTATAAAACTAATAAAGGAACTATACGCGGTCCTTTTCCATTTTTGATGCGTTTTTAATGTACTTTTTCGAAGTTACTGATTGAAACGACGTACAACGTTGATACAGATATGTCTGATACAATCGACATATCTATTTAAATGTAATTTATATATATGCTTAATTTATAAAATTCATAATATATCCATATACTATATCCATGTGTGTATAAATTATTTCATAACATTGTGAATAGATTGTTAAATACAAATAAAGATGTTAAAATAAAAAAAAAAGTTAATTATCTGATTCTAATGGCATTACAATTGGTTTTAAATACTTTAGCGCTTTCTTTTTAAAATAATTTCAATATTATTATATTTGTATGTGTACATACTAATACACATTTATAAATATATTTCCAATAAAGACAATATTAATGTTTAATACAAATTATTTTAAAAAATACTATGTTTAAATACATATTATTTCATATTCTATTCTTTTAGAAACGGTTTATTTCAAATTAATTTAATCATTCCACAACTGTAAACAGTTTTATATTTTCGATAAACACACGAAAGTTTAGTTTCAAGTTGCCATTAACTTCACCAATAATAAGAAAATTAAAAAATTAATTTGATTAAAACAGTACTTATTTTATATTCAATAACCATGTTGTAAGTGGGGATAATGTAATTTTATGTAAATAAGGAGTCGATAATATAAAATACTTCATTGCAAGATTGCATATTAGATTGTAGAGAAATATAAGTAGAAGACATAAATCTTAGTAACAATATAACGATATTCGAATTTATCGGATAATAACATGACTTTAACGACGTTAGAAGGACTTGTGAGACTACGTATTTATTATAACGTTTATTGACATCATCTTCAGTTCTTAGTGATCTCTCGAGACGGAAAGGTCGCAATTCTGTAGATAGACTTCTGGCAATTTGTAACTGGTAAGTATTTCTCACAGTTATTTTCAAATTTTACCTATATCATTGTGAATTCTGGAGTGTGTGTGTATCAAATCATTTTAAAATCTTTCTAGAATTATATATATATATGAAAGGGTAAACTTGTACAATCATACTTATAATACAAAAAATATAAAAATATAGTTATGTAATAAATTACTAACTATACCTAAGTATTTTAAAATAATGGTCTTGAAAATAAATTATTATATTTATCATGTTATCTGACCTTGCTTAAATTTTACGTGTTAATCTTATTGTTAGATTTGTATTGAATTTGAATTAAATTTTACAGTCTTTCCATAAACGAGTCACATTTACTTCTTCTTTATTACATTTTACTTATTCCATTTAAAGATGCCAAATTTGTTGCATTTCAGTGATTATAGTTAGTTTGCTATTTAATATATTGGACAACACGTTTCAAAATTAGAAAGTTTAATCTCGAGCTTACAATTAGTGGTATAAAAGTCTGTTATATACTAACTGTCTTACATGTAATTCGAGCAAACTTAATAACAAATTCGTGCAAAATAATAAAAAAAATAACATGTCATAATTAACGTGGTATTTTGCGAGATGTTATATGTATATTAAATGAATATGTTGTTTCTTCTTGTACTAAATTTTTGAGATTTAGAAAACCTTGTTATTTTTTCTAAAGATTACTCGAATGATAGCAACGAAGCAAACACGATTTAAAAAATTACGAATTGTACTTAAGGTATACCACAAAATACGTGATAAAAAAATTATCTTATATTTTTTCAACTAGATTAAATAATTGTAATGTAATACACACTTGTCGGAGTTAAAACGAAAAGAGGGTCGCGGAAACAAAATAATCAATCTCAATTGTACAATCAGAGAATAAGTCTTTATTTTATCACAATAGTTTATTATATTACGAGATCTGTACAATAAGGCCCAGTTTCATCAACGTCGATTAATTGTATAAACCTTCGATTAAACTCACTCTTTGTCTCTTTCTAAAGAAGACAGTTGGAAAGAGACAAAAAGTGAGTTTAATCGAAGGTTACAGTTAATCGACGTTGGTGAAACTGGGTCTAAAAGGTGTAACGTTTGATCTAAACTGAGGGGCAGAGAAAAGTAATGTATATAGAATAAACTGACGTACATGGTATTATTTATCGCGCTTAATCAAAATACAAATTACAGTACATAATTACAAAGTACAAATTACAAATTACAAATTACAGTAAGCATAGCATTAAACCGCCCAAATCTCAAAAACACCTCGTCATAAACTTAATCGTACACGAAACGGAACATACATACAAAATTGTTATAATGTTTTCCTCTCTTTACAAATATTTACTAAATTTCATGTTTCTTTTTCTTCTAACCTAGGTTCATTTTTACAAACACCACTGAACTTGTTTAGAAAATTGTCATGGAATTATTAAAATTGCTATTTAATATAATGTTCATTATGGCTTTTGTTTCTAAAAAAATGTTTATTACTGAAGTTTGCGCCGATATTTATTACCGCTTGCCGAATAATACAATACCGAAGCATTATGAGATTAAGTTAAAAGTGGACGTTGAAAAGAATATCTTCCATGGCAAATCTAATGTCAGCATCATTATTTACGAACAAACTCGTACGATACATTTGCACTCAATATGTTTGAATATAACTACAAAGACAACAACAATTGAAAATATTGATATGCGTGAAAGGACCAAGCATATGGCACGTTCAAATCATCAAATCGTATCAAATAATATTTCATATTGGAAGGAAATGGAAGTTATAGTGATTTATTTTGACTATGATCTAACACCTGGTAATTATACTCTGAATATGGAATACATGGGTATCATATCCGATATGAGTGGCTCCGATATGGGTGGTTTCTTCAAGATTCCGTTTATAAATGAAATAAGAGATAGAAAGTGAGTAGATTTAAAACTATAACATAAACATGTTCATGTTAACATACATGTTTATTAT